CCCGCCTCGGCCTCCCAAAGTGCTGGGATTATAGGCGTGAGCCACCGCGCCTGGCTGTAACCCACATCTTTATCATGACTCTTGCTTGGAAACTTCTCTTGTGTCCTGCCCCTTCCCAGAGGCAACAGCTGGCCTGATCTTTCTCCAGCATTGGCTAATTGTGCCTGTTTTAGAACTCCATAAATGGATCCTGTAGGCAGGCTCTTCTGTGTGTGTCGTCTTTCACTCTGCACAGTGTTTTTGATTTTCATCCTTCTTTTTTGTTTAACAACATAATGGGTTTATGTTTAATATAGCCCTTCTCATCAGGAGGATATCGCTCAGTTAATACAACGTTACTTTTAACATTGAATCTCTTTTCCATGTCAATGTCTATAGTGGGTTTTTTTGTTTTTTTGTTTTTTTTTTACATTAAGTCTTTTCTCTATTTCAGTATTAGATACACTGAATACATTTTTCTGAATATTTTTTTTTCCTAGAGATAGAATTTTCCTTTTTTGGCTGCCTGATATCTAAATAGAATATTAACTTGGGAGATAACAAAACAAAAGTCTAATAAAAATACAGAGAACAGACTCAGTGGCTCACGAGGCTGTGATTACAACTGAATTGTGGTGATATCCTAGGATTCTGGGCAAAGCTTCTTTTTCCTGTTTGGAGAATTCTAAAACTATGTAATGTTCTGTAAAATTCAGTCATCTTACTTCTTTAACTTTCTAACCAGCAAATAAAAATTACACTTGCTGCATTTTTCAGTGCATCATTTGTAGCAAACAAAACATATTTTCCCCATTTATATATCAATTTGTTCCCATTTCATGGAAACAACAAAGAATATAAAACTCCCCTACTTAACTGATTCTTGGAAACTTTCAGACACTGAAGCTTAGGTTTATCTCCAATAGCACAAAGGTTTTCAGGGTGAGGTTTCATTCATTAGGCTCTTCAAAGTCACATCTGTTCATTTTTCTTTCATGCATATACTCTCAAGCAGGCGCAAACAGCTGTGATACTGAGAACCACACTGTTTAGTGAGAGAGCAGTTGCATCAAGACTTCTGTTTAGATAACGGGCAGCAGCAGAAGCAGTAATTAAGGACACTTGTGTTGAAACTGAGGTCATGATTTTGGGGTCTTGAGGGCTAAAGTTTCCAAAGAAATGGTATATATAGAATTCTATATGACTTGAAATTTTCCTTTTATAGACCTCTGGATGCTGAGGCTAAGGGTGTCCATATGACAATGCCTTCCATGGCAGGAATCAGCATCCTTTTTTTTTTTTTTTTTTTCCATGTATCAGTAATTCATTCTGTATATTTTAAGAAGTTTTAACCTCTTCCTCCTAGCCCTCCAGTATTTGTTAATTAATTAAAACGTTTCCCAAAGTGTTTTCTGTGAAACCTTAGTTCTAAAAGATGTGCTCTAAGAAAAGCTAAGTACATGGAAAAATCCAAAGTATATGTTTTGTTTTTTTTTTTTTTTTGAGACGGAGTTTCGCTCTTGTTACCCAGGCTGGAGTGCAATGGCGCGATCTCGGCTCACTGCAACCTCTCCCTCCCGGGTTCAAGCGATTCTCCTGCCTCAGCCTCCCAAGTAGCTGGGACTACAGGTGCATGCTACCGTGCCCAGCTAATTTTTGTATTTTTAGTAGAGACAGGGTTTTACCACATTGGCCAGGATGGCCTCGATCTCTTGAGCTCCCAGAGCACTTGGATTACAGGCATGAGCCACCGCGCCCGGCCTGGCTTGTAGTTTTGAGAGATCAATAAGACTATTGTTAGGTTGTTCATAACTGTGGTGTGTGTCAGAATCACTATTGAGGTTTTTTTTTAAAAAATGGGTGCTTGTATATACTCTAAACTTGGTGAATCTGAAAAGCCTTGCTTGAGACCCATTGTTGAAGTTTGTTGGTCCACCTACTTGAGAGTCATCAACATGGAGAAAGCTACTACCTTAGAAAGTATTTCTTCTAAGCTGAAATAGCTCAGCTGGGAGAGTGTTAGACTGAAGACACTATTTCTTCTTCTTTTGCAGAATAAAGTGGGATAGTGTCCACGTGAAAATACCTGGGGGCTGGCTGTAGTGGATCATGCCTATAATCTCAGCAATGTGGGAGGCTGAGGCGGGCAGATCATTTGAGGTTGGGAGTTAGAGACCAGCCTGGCCAATATGATGAAACCCCATCTCTACTACAAAATACAAAAATTAGCCAGGCATGGTGGTGGATGCCTGTAATCCTAGGTACATGGGAGGCTGAGACAGGAGAATTGCTTGAACCCAGGAGGTGGAGGTTGCAGTGAGCTGAGATTATGCCACTGCACTGCAGCCTGGGCGACAGAGTGAGACTCCATCTCAAAAACAAAAACAAACGAAAGTCCATGGAAAAAAGTATTAGTCTCCCTTTTCAGCTTCAATGTCAAGCAGAGTTACCCTTTTTAAAAAATATTTGTTTGAAAATATTAACACTTACGCACAGTAGCTGAAAGACGTGTGCAGTGAGTGGCTGCAGACCCACCCCCGCTCATGTTCTGCCACTACGTTTGGCTCCATATCTTGTCCATCCATTGTCTCGCCTAGTTCCTTAGACACTCAAGTATGTCATTAATTCCAGTTCAGCTTTATATTTTGACTTTCAGGTAAAATTTATGTATAATGAAATGCACCTGTTTTTGAGTTTACCATTTCACAAGTTTTGATAAATGTAACCGTGTAACCCACATCTTTTTTTTTTTTTGAGATGGAGTTTCGCTCTTGTTACCCAGACTGGAGCGCAGTGGCCCGATCTTGGCTCACCACAACCTCTGACTTCTGGGTTCAAG